ATCTTGGGTAGATTCGGTTTGGGTTTGGATTCAATTCAAAGCAGACCATTTAAATTACATTTAAAAAAAAAAAAGATTTTTAAATGTTTTTATGCATTTGTTAGAAAATTAAAATATTCGCACCTTTAAAGAATTGTTGGGCCGTACATAAAAGTGAAAAGAAGAAGAAGATTAGCCCCGATACCTCATTTTTTGGGAAAAAAATTTGAAATTTACCTTGTTGTTAACAAAAAATTAATGAATTTAACCCCACTAACTCAAGGACAAATTCGAAAAAACCCTACCCCTTTAGGCAAAAGATCCCACTCCCATGCGATTTTCTTCTCTACAACTTTCCCAAAACACCAATTTCCTAATTGATTACTTCATCTCCAAAATTTGGGAAATTTTCAAAATCTTAGGATCAAATTTTCGGATGAATTCAAATTTGAATTAGTTTTCAGCTCGCATTCAAATTTTTAGAATCTATGTTAGCCTAGCGAATTCAAATTTGATGTATACATGATCTTTTTTTTTTGTCCGAAATTGTTGTTTATAGTTTCCAGGGTTCGAGCATGTTCAAATTTTATGAAATTGGGATAAAAATTTGGTTGAAGATTGAGAGTAGAGTTTTTAGGGTTTTTATGATTTTGGGGGTTGACTTTGGTGTTTGTGTTTGTCTTCGGCTTGGTGTTAAATTTGAGTTGAATAGTTTTGAGGTAATTTTAACAGGTTTGTTAGTTGTAGAGTTAACTTTGACAAATTAATTTTGAGGGATTTGTTCAACTTTTTTTTGACAACTAGTTAGATGCACGTGCGATGCACGTGTTAGTGGTGTAGTTGGCTGCTAAATATCGTGATCTTTTCAAAAAAAAAAAAATCAAAGCAGACCATTTAAATTACATTAAAAAAAAAAAAAGATTTTTAAAGGTTTTTATGCATTTGTTAGAAAATTAAAATATTCGCACCTTTAAAGAATTGTTGGGCCGTACATAAAAGTGAAAAGAAGAAGGATACCTCATTTTTTGGAAAAAAAATTTGAAATTTACCTTGTTGTTAACAAAAATTAATGAATTTAACCCCACTAACTCAAGGACAAATTCGAAAAAACCCTACCCCTTTAGGCAAAAGATCCCACGTCCCATGCGATTTTCTTATCTACAACTTTCCCAAAACACCAATTTCCTAATTGATTACTTCATCTCCAAAATTTGGGAAATTTTCAACATCTTAGGATCAAATTTTCGGATGAATTCAAATTTGAATTAGTTTTCAGCTCGCATTCAAATTTTTAGAATCTATGTTAGCCTTAGCGAATTCAAATTTGATGTATACATGATCTTTTTTTTTTTTGTCCGAAATTGTTGTTTATAGTTTCCAGGGTTCGGGCATGTTCAAATTTTATGAAATTGGGATAAAATTTTGGTCGAAGATTGAGAGTGGAGTTTTTAGGGTTTTTATGATTTTGGGGGTTGACTTTGGTGTTTGTGTTTGTCTTCGGCTTGGTGTTAAATTTGAGTTGAATAGTTTTGAGGTAATTTTAACAGGTTTGTTAGATGTAGAGTTAACTTTGACAGATTAATATTGAGGGATTTGTTCAACTTTTTTTTGACAAAAAGTAGGACTACAAAAAGCGGGACTCTTGTCAATTTAGGCCGCCCCCAAAAAAAGGAATATTGCAACTCTTGTACCAAACCTTTCACTTTTTTGTAGACTTGACCAAAATCTTTAATTTATAGCACTCACGGTACCAAATTTTTTAAAAACTTGTATTTAGAGACCAAATTAATAGAAATCGTTAATTACTTTGTTAGTTGACCAAAAATGAAAAGTCTAACCAAATATTAATTAGTTTTTAAAGGACAAAATGGTAATTTTACATTTTCATATAAAAAACTAAAATAAAATAATAATAAAAAAAACTTTTCACCCACCCCCAATCCACCCAGCCCACCCATAAACCACCAAAATCGTTTGCCTCACCACCAAAACCGTCAAACAACCCCACCCAATGAGAGAGAACCATTACCAAAACTCTCGGCAACCCGACAACAATCTTATTCAATCATCAAGAATTTGCATTTTCTCCAATCTTGTGAACATAAAGTTACCAATTGATGATGTCAAAAATGGTACTTGGGTAGACCCGAACTAGATGAATGAGCTCCGCGTGATCCGGTCTCAGATACCTGAAACAAAGGCGTCGAGGTGTATCTTCATCGCCCCTCTGATGCTTAAGTCAGCGAGAGAATTATGTGAAAAATTGTATATTGGAATATTATGTAAAACATACCTGAATAATGAGGCTAGATTATGTATTTATAGATGTTGGAGGGAGAGTTCTGGAAGGACTTAACTTCCTATAGTCCTATTTATTTTAGGTGTTTGCATTGTGTTAGAAGTGCACAATTTGTGTTAATGTAAAATTTGTAATGAACTAGGAGTTTGTACTTAAGTATGACTAGCATTCCTATGCTCGACCTTATAATGGACCCGACCTCGAAATCAACCCAGTTGGAGTGGGCCAGATCGAACCTGCTAGCCCGAGTTCGGGTCAAGTAACTCGAGCTCGGGCCTATCGATATTTTTCCGTATCACAGGCCCCTGTGCATCCAGGTTGTAGCTACAAGTTACGTGTTTGAGCTACGAGGTGGGATGCAAAGAGGCGCAACAAGTTTAAGTCTTTGTTCGATTTGCAATTTGTATGTAGCTTGAGTTCGTTACTTAGCCAATTTTTGGCCGATAAGCTCGAGTTTTGCATTAAATAAGTAGTTCGAGCTTGTTACTTAGACAGTCTTTGGCCAATAAGCTCAATAATGAGTTCGAGCATGTTACTTGGCCATTTTAGCCAAGTTTGTTGCAAGAGATAGCTCGAGTCGTATTACTTTGACATTTTTTAGGCCAAGTAGCTCGAGTATTGTTTAAGAGCCAGTTCGAGCGTGTTACTTGGTCGATTTTGGCCTATATAGCTCGAGTGATGTTTTGTTATCACTTCGAGTCGTGTTACTTGGCCGATTTTGGCATAGTAGCTCAAGTGATGTTTTGTAATGAGCTCGAGGCTTGTTACTTGGCTGATTTTTTGTCAAGTAGCTCGAGTCATGTTTGTAATCACTTCGAGACTTGTAACTTGGCCAGTCTGCCAGTAGTTCGAGTGATGTTTTGTAATGAGCTCGAGGCGTGTCACTTGGCTATTTTTTGCCAAGTAGCTCGAGTCATGTTTCGTAATCACCTCGAGACGTATAACTTGGCATGTTGGCCAGTAACTCGAGTGATTTTTTGTAATGAGCTCGAGGCATGTCACTTAGCTATTTTTTGCCAAGTAGCTCGAGTCATGTTTTGTAATCACTTCGAGACTTGTAACTTGGCCAGTAGTTCGAGTGATATTTTGTAATGAGCTCGAGGCGTGTCACTTGACTATTTTTTGCCAAGTAACTCGAGTCATGTTTCGTAATCACCTCAAGACGTATAACTTGGCATGTTGGCCAGTAGCTCGAGTGATGTTTTGTAATGAGCTCGAGGCGTGTCACTTAGCTATTTTTTGCCAAATAGCTCGAGTCATGTTTCGTAATCACCTCGAGACGTATAACTTGGCCTGTTGGCCAGTAGTTCGAGTGATGTTTTGTAATGAGCACGATGAGTGTTACTTGGCTATTTTTTGCCAAGTCGCTCGAGTCATGTTGAAGGAGCTCGAGACATTTTACAAGGCCATGTTTTGGCCAGGTAGCTCGAGTCCTGTTATTTATAAGGCAGTCTCGAGCTCGAGCATCGTTTAGGGACATTTTAGTCCGATACTCATTTTTGGAATGGTCGTGCTCGAGGTAGGTTTTTAAGGTGGGTGGTCATGGCATGTTTTGAGGTGCGTGCTTGTGACATGTCTTTTTTGAGAGCATGTCCGTAGCATGTCTCAGAGGTGTCGCGCGTGACAGAGCTTTTGATAGTGCTTGCTCGTGACAAGGCTTTTGATAGTACCTGCTCGTGACATGACTTTTGTTGGCCTGCTCGTGATAGGCTTTTTGGGCCTGCTCGTGATAGGACTTTAGGTGCCTGCTCGTGATAGGACATTTTTGGGCCTGCCCATGATAAGGCTTTTGATGGTGCCTGATCATACCTTCTAGGAATCGAACTCTCCACGCTAGGGTTATGAGTCTACAAATGCAATTGTTCCACCAACTCGGATGTGCCCTTGGAGGCTTTTTTTTTTCTATGTTTGAATTGGTTGTAGTTGGATTCTTCAATAAAACCGTGAACGGCCCAACTAACTAGGTTACTCTACGGAAGATCGAACTTAATCGAATTATTGCATCGAACTAACTCAATTTAGTTCAATTTGAATTGAGAGGTTTCGGAATTAAATGTCAATCCTCATTTATCACTATCAATCATTAGTACAGTAAATCTCATATTATCCACTCGTGTACGAATCTTTGCAATCACAAACAGTTACGATGACATCAGGGCAACCGCACCAATCAACCTCTATTAGTGTCATTTTCGTATGTATATATATACGTAACACAATTACATCATTTAGGTATTTATATCACAAATATTATGAATTATTGATCAACTTCTGACTTTCGTTGTAACAAAATCTCGAGTCTAATATAATTATTAATCTTATTATATAAATATTTGGTAACATTTTAAATTATAATTTAAGGTAGTGAAACATATTTTTTATCCATTTATTACTTATTATTTACATATATTTTGCATAATTTACTGTGTTAAATTTTAATTTTACCATACATTACAAAAGTAGCTTATTTTTAAACCAACTTATTATGTAAAATGCATTATCTGATTAACAAAAGCCAGACAAAAAAAAAAGAGTAATTGTCGGCACTTTGGACAGTATCCGTGGACTACATCGCCGAGGACGTCTCCTCCGTCAATTTCGTCCCGCATTCGGGTTCGAACAACCCACCCCCACCAAAAAACACCTCAAAACCCACTTCTTAAATTCCTAAATTCTTTGCATATACACACGCACAACCACTAAAAATTAAGATTTCTTGAAAATGGGAAGTCAAATCAGCAGAACAACTGGGCAAAATGGTAGCCGCCGCCGCCAACCGCCATCGCCATCACCGGAGCCAACGGCGCGAACGACCTCCAGCTCTGACACAGAGGTGACACCGGAGGGATCCACCAGTCACCGCCACCCTCCAACACCGGAGCCACCAGCTCGAACGACTTCCAATTCCAACACAGAGTCAACTCCAGGGGAAGCTGATCTGAGCTCCTACGAGGCTGCGTGCCAAGTCGATCCGGACCTTCGGACCTTCGACTCGACTCTCCAAGTCCGCACAAGGCAAGCCATCAACTCCATAGCCATTGGCTTAGAGGTTCGTTCCCTGTCCCTTGACTCCCTCCGGGAAGTCACTGAATGCCTTCTTGAAATGGACCAAGAAGTGGTTAAAATTATTCTTCAAAACAAGGAAGACATCTGGAAAAATAAAGAACTATCGGATCTTGTTGATGATTATTTCAAAAATAGTCTTCAAATGTTAGATTTTTGTATTGCCCTCGATTCGTGTCTAAAGCGAGCCGGGCACATGGAGTCTATAATCAATGTAGCCCTCCGAGTATTTGAGGAAGAACATTACCGTATTCCTGGAGAAGGGGGAGTGAAAAGTTATTCAAGAACTTTGGAGGAATTGAGGAATTTAAAGGGGATGGGCGGTCCGTTCACAGAGGAGTTCTTTAAAATGTTTTCCACAGTTTATAATCAGCAAATTTTGATGTTAGAGAAATTGCAAGCGAAAAAGAAACAGCTTGACAAAAAGTTGGGGAGAATGAGGACTTGGAGGAGGGTATCGAACGTGATATTTGTGGTGGCATTTGCCTCGGTTCTGATATGCTCGGTGGTGGCAGCTGCAGTTACTGCCCCACCTGTAGTGACAGCTCTGGCTGCAGCAGCTGCCGCGCCTTTAGGGTCAATGGGGAACTGGCTTAATACAAGTTGGAAGAAGTGGGAGAAGGAACTAAGGGGGCAAAGGGAGATAATTACTTCAATGCAGATTGGAAGTTACATCGTTATTAAGGACTTAGATAGCATAAGGGTGCTTGTTGACCAGTTTCAGATTAAGATCGAGGCTTTGTTGGGGAATGCAGATTTTGCATTGAGACAGGATGGCGCGGTGGTTATTGCAGTGGAGGAGATTAGGAAGAAAGTGAGTGACTTTATGAAGATCATTCAAGATTTGAATGAGCACGCAGATAAATGTACCCGAGAAACAAAGATGGCAAGGGCTTTAATATTGCGGAGGATCATAAATCACCCTAGCAGCTTGAATCAGGACTTTGGTATGTTTTCCTAATGACTATGTTCCATGTTGCTGACTTAGTTTGAGCTACATATAATTGAGTAAATCCATAAAATCGTGGACCTGGGTCGATTTATTGTATTTGTATCGTTCTTGAGAAATGACAACATAAATTGCTTATTGTGAGGCTATCTTATTTGGTATATACGTGATATTTCTTGATCACTATATATGATAGAGTTAAAGAATGCATATTCCTTATAGAGTTACTTTGCTAGTATATTATGAGGCATTTTGAAGTAGCCAGAGTGTTTTGTGTATTGTTAAATAGTATTGTGGATCAGCAAAAGGGAAAAGTAGAAGGAACTAGGAAAAAGGAATTGTGCGCAAGTTCCCTTCTTATGACCTTTCTTAGCAAATCTTTTTAGGGATCAGACCAATTTTCTCTTTCTCGATGTGTTATTTTGTGGATTCCCATGCAATGTGTGGCTGAAAATGAGTTTGAGGAACGGTGACTTTTAGAAAACGAGGGGTGCAGTAAAAGATCTTGAAGCGTAAGTGCGTAACTAACATGGCGAGTAGAAAACTGTGTGTTGCCTTGTCATTATCGTTAGATTCCGTCCCCCCTTCTGAAAAAGGAAGAAAAAATAGGTGTGATTTTTCCATCTGTTTCACCAACTGTTCACAGTCTAGATCACTGATTTCAGCTAATCAGCTGTTTCACAGTTTACATTTTTGGATATGATACTTTTTCTTACTCGTAAGGTACAAAAAATGTTGATTATTTGAAGGAAACTCTTGTCTTGGGGGCAAAATATTAATATACTTCTTCTCGACATTTATAAATAAAAGGATTATTTCATACTTCTTTACTGACAAGTGAACTTTCAAGCTTATCCAAACATGCTTGAGACAGGCGAAATACTAACCAGTTACACGTTGATCGCCAAAATTTTTCATTTAGGGACTTTAGAAACGACCTTTTTAACATTGTACGTTTGGTAAGGTGAAGTTGATAGCACTAGACAATCTTGACACCAATATTTATGGCCATTGGGATCTTAGCATATATTCTTTACTCTTGATAGAGGGTCGGTTTAGCATTGTACGTTTGGTAAGGTGAAGTTGACAACATTAGACAATCTTGACACCACTATTTTTGGCCGTAGGGATCTTACTATCTTGGCATATATTTTTTATTCTTGATAGAGGGTCCGTTTAGTAGGTTTTCTCCTGCTTCTTGTAAAAGAACTTCACGAGGAAGCAATCTTAAAGTAGATTTCCTTAGTAACGGTTCTAGTTAAACAAAATATTTTCACAAAATTATGTAAATATGTTCAAATTCAGTTTTTAAATTTCAAAGGTATCTTTTGACTTTTCAAAATCATTGCCAAACAGGCCAAGAGTATCTTTATATCTAAAATGAGGAGTTATTGCATTTTATTACATAATTATTTTGTTGATGGGTTTGTAGATATTATACACGAAATAAAGAAAGAAAAATCCAAACTGGATCTTGTTATTTAAAAATTTAAACCATCTTTTCTCATAGGTCGAGTTTATTATTTTGAAAAATTGGAGCAGGGTCCATAACTATTGCAAAAAGTGCAAATGGATCCCCAACCTTTAGTTTTTGCGTCGTCATCCCATACTTTTGAAGACATTATGTGGCATAAGGACCTTCGAAAGGTAAGCATCCGATAATATGATAGTTTAGCACGTGAATTGTAGTTGCCAACCTTTTAGAATGGTAAAAACGCCACTCCACATTTTGTCTCTGTTCGTCATCCTTTAAAATTTTAAATTGTTCGCTACAGAGTACCATTCTCCACTATACATTCACACAATAAAATATTCTATATATATATATATATAAACTAATAAAGTTTCCATACTTTTTAACCACGTATTCTCTATCAATCTACTATTATATAATACATTATAAGAAATTAATGACTCTCAAACAGGACCTTTATCAGTTAAAACAATTGAAAGTTTTCAAAAAACAAATTCGTCGTCGTCTTTTATTTTCTTCAAGTTTGGTAGTGTTTAATTGAGTTTTCATGACAAATAACGCATCACCCTCTATGGCATATAAGCTTTTAATTTGTTGTTTATCTCCATTCCATTACTCGTAAAATCGTAATAGCATAAGCTTCTCAGACTGTAATGCAAGTCTTTACTTAAAATTTTAACCATAACATTAAAATTCGTTCAAGAATACATCAAGACCGGTCCATCAATTTCAAAACGAACCGGACTGTCTAGTCTTATAAAACTGAATTTCTGTATTTTCACCTCAAGAAATTGAAAATAAAATTTGCCTAAAGATCAATTTTAGCACTATTTTTGAACACCAAAAGAAAATAAAAAATAATTTCACATATCTCATATATCCTTGTCTTTAACCAGTTCCTCCGCCTTCTCAGCTTCTTTCACGGCAGCGGCGCCGCTGCCACCTCGTTTTCTATTTCGAATATGCATTTTCACGTAGAAATTCAAGAAGAGAAGAAGAATGGCACCATTAAGCACTGAATTGAAACCCCAAGCTCCAATTCCATTGCACCCACCTTTGATTAAATGCAGCATAAGCATCCCAATATGGCACACAAGATTGCAACCCAACAACACCATTTGGCAATTCACGACGAACGGGAAGCACGCACTAGGTAGCCCAATCGCCGTCCAGAACCGGTACCCGTAAACCACAGAGTAAACGAGCGTCGTGAGGAGAATCGCAAGAACTTGGAGAGATTGTGAAAATTCCAGCCATAAAAATGAAGTGAAAATCAGTATAGAATTGTTGAATAACTTGAAGAATGAGAGTTTTCGGCCGCGTATAATGGTAAAAAATGTACTGAGCGCGTGGAGGAACCGGGAGAGATAATAAATGTATGACCAGAAGAAGACCCGGCCGGAGGGGCGGGTGCCGAGGGGGAAGCATAGGAGCCACTGAAAAGGGGTGGTGCGGGTCCGCCGCCAGGACCACCGTGTGTCACGGATTTCCGCGGCGGTGGAGAGGAGGATACCGGCGAAGATGGTGATGGAGATGAGAGCCATGCAGAGGGAGTGCACGGCGGGGAGATGGCCAAGAGGGAGCGGGAGGCGGTGGCGGAACACGAGGAGGAGGAGAAGGTGAAGGAGCACGGAGGCGGACACATAGGCGGCGATGGAAGTGAAGAGAAAGACCCACGTGGAGCCCCACGATTGGGCATGGCTCCACCGGAAGCCGACGATTGATGGGTGCTCGGCAAGGCGATACCTCAGGTTATCAATCACCATCATCGGCTTGCTCGGCGGCGATCATTGGCCGATAGGAATTCTCGTCGCTGACGAGAATGTTATGGACCTCGCAAATAAACTAGTCGTGAATGATTGGTTTTTTTAAGGTTTTGGCGAAATTTAGGCTAGAATGACGGGTAACTATGAAGAATAGAATTTGTGTATTATAATCCGAATTCAACTGCGATTTCTTCACATTGGATTGGACTTTGGAGATGTAATATTCCCACTAGAAAACATATGTTCCAATAGGGTGTCTCAAGATTTTTCTACGTGTAAACGGTTTACAACCCTTCACGATAAGGGGATTCAAGATTTTTTTTATTGGACGTGAGCCCCATGAGGAATTGTCAATTCTTAGTGTACAAATAACAAAATTCATTGTAATAATAGTCTGATTTAATCATAAACCAATGAAAATTCTCTTTCTTGTGATCGAGTCGGGTTGGCATGGTTTTGCCCACCGTATGATTTGGTTTGTGCTCGTTTTGGAACTTAGTTCGCAATCCTCTTGTCCCATCATATTACTTTTTTTAAAAAAATTATTGGAAATTAATTTTTTTTTTTCACATGATTAATAAGACAAGTTAATCCATTCAAATCGGCAAGTGATTCGCTAAAATGCCAGTTTTGATCGTCCCACGGCTCGTCCTGAGAGAGAATTAAATTGGCTCGCTTGTGGGACGAGTGACGTGTTCAAACTCTTTATTGCTTATATATCGATAAAGATCACTTCCTTGAACTCAAAGACAAAGTCGAGAATATGACTAAATAGTAACTATTTGTTTCACATATTATTAAATATAAATTCTACAATTTTAAAACGAGACAAATCGACTAGTTCGATTCATCTAATTTTATAATATTTTGCTCACCTTCACGAACTAATCCTTAGCTATGGCATCAATCTCCAAAGATTAAACACAAGTACTAGTAACGAATAGCAATGTGCTTTTTTTTTTTTTTTTNAAATGAAAGGAACTAAGGCCCTGTTTGATTCCTTAAAATTTCCTACTTTTTTATTGTTTGATGACAAAAATTTTTCATAGAAAATCTTTTCCCACCCCCCACCAGGCCACCCCACGCGCCCCTTGTTTTGTGGGAATTCACTTTGGTGGGAAAATGAATTCCAGGTTTCTGGCCTCTTTATTTTATTATTATTATTATTATTATTATTATTTTATTTTATTATTTTTTGAAAATGATAACAAATTTCATAACCAACTGTAAAAAAAAAAAATTCATTTTAATGAACAATTTCCATATAAAATAAAGTCAAATGTGAACAAAAAAATTCAAAATTTTAAAATTTTTCAGGTGGAAAATTATATCAATCAAACACACTTAAATAACAATTCCTTGAAAAACAAGTTCTAGGAAATTATTTTTTATGAAATTTATTTTCTTTCCACCCATTTTTTACCATAACAATTAAACCGACCCTAAGGTAGGTTAAGAGAACTCACATGGAAATTCAGTTCTCAGGTTAGGCCGACAGCTTGCCTACTTAGTATTGGAAGAAAAATAGTTGTGGGGCATTTCAAAAAAAAAAAAAATAATAAAAACATCATTTTCTTGATTCAACAGCTACTTTATTGTCGTCTATTATGCATTCTCAACAAACCGCCCGTAACCCGTTAATTGTATGCCTGCGAAGGTGGGTGTGTACATAGTTAAGGTGTCGTTCCTATTGCGCTGTCGACGGGATTAATTACTCGGTGTAGAATCGAAAGATGCTTTCAGATTGTATTTGTTCACGTAAATCTGACAATCGTGCTTAGAGTTACTCTTTTTTTTTGTGTAGATCCCTCTTTGTAATATAAAATGAACTGGTAAAAACTAATTTAAAATAGAGTTGAATTTTTTTTTTTTTTTTAGAAAACAAAAAACTAATTCTCGGTGAACCCGACTATTCCTCGTGACATTTTTCTAAGAGCCTATTTAAGGAAAAAATGACCAAGGCACGTGATGGAAAATAAAAGAGAGACAGAGAGGTGGATGGGTTGCTTGGTGAGTTGGTTGGCCATTATATTTCATCAAAGAATCATGCTACTTGTACAATATTTGTCGACAATATTGATTGACAATTACAAATTGGCAGCATCACATTCATTCATTTAAAAAATTGTCAAAAATTATTTTTTGTATCAATGATCTGGATTTTCATAATACATAATTGTCAACTAAGGTTGTCAACCATATTTGTACAACTAATTTTATTGTTCATCAAAAATCCCATTTCCATGTAAAATGAAGTGTCCTAACCAGTGTTCTGAAAAACTCGTCTTGACGGCACTTCGGCACCACTTAGGTTTGAAACTCGGATAAAACGCGTCGCTTCATGTTTAAGCGTTTTTTTTTTTCAATTCCTAAACAGTTGAATTTTTCATCGTCTCTTTCGTCTCCCCAGATTGCTTTATTTATTTATTTTTATTTGACTTTAGTTTTTTTTTTTATGTTTTAGAAAACATTTCATTTGAATTTAATTTTAAGTTTTTAAAAGATTTTATCAGTACAAAAGTTAAAAATGACTTTATTCAATAAAGAGTAAAATAAAATTAAGTTACAGTGCTATCTACCTATATAATTACGATCTTGAGACTTGTTATTTTGTTAAAAATTTCGAAAGCATGTATAGTTTCTATAAATCTATTGAGTATGACTTGTCTAGTTGAAAATTGAAATTATGAAAAATAGTTTAGTTTTTGCACTTCGAAAACTTGAAAATTGTATAATTGACTGATTATATGAATTATTAAGTAAATATAGTATTTTGTAATTTTAGATATTTGATATGTATTATTTTAATTATTAAATGATTTTTAAAATTATTAAATGATATTAAGAATAAGAAAACATTTTTTTACGTCTAGATGTCGCTTAGGCTCGTAAAGCTTGAAGTTTCGCCTCCACGCTTCGTCACGCTTTTTAAAACACTGGTCATGACCTCTTAACCTTAGCTTTTCGAGTATTTTGAATTTGATAATTATTATTTTAATTTAATTTCGTGTTTTAGGACAAAAGTCTATAAGGTTATTTGCATCGATGAAAATAGCAAGAAAATGAAACGAATTAGTGATTGGAATATAAGTAAAATTAACCCGAGAAACAAGAATGAATCATGCCGGGAGTGGGGATGAAATGGGCAGAAATGAACATCAAACAAGAGTCGGAAAAAAAGGGAGTTTTAAATAGAAAAATGATTGAAGTACAGAATTTTACTAGGAATTTGAATTCACTCATATAGAATGGACCCCATGTATAAAATAATGAAAACAAAAGGTTTCCCCTAATTTTTGTGTCTATTCTGTAAGTCCTGCACTTATAGCAAAGCTCTTTTATATAACATTCAATTTGAGAAGAAAATCCAAGCTCAATTTCACTATGGAATTCGTTCTTAAGACCGTATTCTAAGAGTTTTACTATTAAACTCTATTCGGAAATGATTTTTTTTTTTTTTAAATTTATACGAAATCATGAATTATCAAATTATATTCATTGGGTTAATTTCGAGAATGGTCACTGAAGTTTCTAAAAAATTTCAAAATTACCATTGAAGTAATTATACTAGTGATCTCTCGGTTAGAAAATTTAACTTAAAATCCTGCACAAAATCCTTAAATTCCACTTGAACACATTATACGTTAATAAATACAATACGTCAAATTTAATCATGCTCCAATAATTAAAAATCATGATTGAAACATACGTATTCGAAGATTTATGAAACTTAGAATCTAATGTGATGTATGATCTAAAGTTAATTTTTCTTGCCAAGTGACGATCAGTATAATCATAAAAACTTAAGTGACTATTGTCATAAAAAAATTACTTAAATGACCATTCTGAAATTTTTTCAAACTTAACTGATCATTGCTGAAATTAACACTATGTTGATAGTATTACTATTATAGGATCAGTACAAGTTTATATATGCTAGAAATTGGGTATCTAAACTTTTGTATTGCGTTTGTTTACCATCTCATCTCAAAATCTAAGAAATTGAGTTCATTATATTGCATTTCTCCACGCTTTTCACTCGTTCTCAATGTCATTCATATCTATTAAATTTTAATTGGTCGAATCATCCCCAACTTTTCAATAATTCATGCAGTTGGTCCTTCCTAACGACTTCCGGCCAAATTTCCCGTTAATCTCATGTAAAATGACAATTCTACCCTTTTAATCGTAATTTTCTATTGAATTATTAATTATTTTAAATGTTTGAACAAAAAATATTGAACTCCCAATAATTACACGATCACGTTCAAAAAAACGAGTTACATACTATTGAAAAGCATAAAAAATAAATCTTGAAAAATTTAAAACTTAAGTAAATAAATACCCCTTAATTAATCGATGCCAACATCAGTTTTAAATATAACTAATATTTATCTCTTTATCTATAATGTCCAATCATTTAAGGACATTCGGCCTATGTTTGAACCCTATTTTTGGGTGAAAATGGATTATATTAGTGATTTTTTGGAGATTGTATGGTTAAAATTAAGAAAAAAATTGCGGGTTATGTGCAAAATTATTTTATTGAGATAATATATGATTGAAAATGAGTCTGATAAATAATAAGTTTTTAGATGATGCGATTCAAAAATGAGCTTAATGATTAACTTGACTCGTGTTTAGCACCAGTTAAGGGGACCATCGATTTTGATCAACAACAAATATAAAATAAATTTTGACTAAATTTTGGTATTAAAACAATGAATTCTTCAATGTTTATTTTCAATTCTACACTCATGCATCAATAACTAACAAATATACCAACCACCCAACTTGTGTGTCAAAGTTAGGTGTTTTCCGTGTGTGAACACAACTACTTTAGCCGCTTTGAAACTTACAAAGTCAAACATCATACTATGATTTTTCTTTTGCATTGTTTTTCTTTTGAAACGTAGTGCTTTCATTCTTAAATATATTGTCAGTTTGGCCCCCCATTTTCGAGAATTTATAAATTTTGAAATAGTGAATAATGTGAGAATGTGTGATTGAACAATAATGAAAAATTTTAAATTTGTATCTAATATTATTTTATCTGAAAAATATGTGATTAAATTTAAAAAAAAAAAAGAGAAAATTTAATGGGGCCAAACAAGGGCAATGCCTTTGTCATGTATAGTGATCAAAATTAAAGTTTTAATTTAAGTCAAAATTAATAATTAATTCTAACTATATTTTATGAGATTCACAATTCTTAATCATATCTCATCCTTTTTTTTTTTTTTATCAAAATTTACTAAAAACTTGATTTTAGTCCTTATCAAACAGGGCTACATAATAACTAAAATAAAGTATATAAAATGTAATATTTGGTTATTATATTATTTTTTATAGAGATTAAAATCAGATTTTGATAAAAATTAATAAAATGTGCAGTTAAAAAATTGTGTATTCTATGAAATTTGTGGTTAAAATAAATTGTTGACTATGACAAAAATTTAGATTATAATTTCTACCAAACGGTTCTTATAATGCTAGATTTGAGTTTCCAAAATTGGATTTTACTACATTATTCAAACACGTGGAAACTGAAAACCAAGCAACAAAGAATTTTCATTCTCCTGTTTGACACACATTAAAATTTTCATTATCATTTTTCTATCAATTTTCAATCATACATTATTCAATAAAATAATATTTTTCACATCAATAACTTTTCATTCTTTTTCAACCACATATTCTCCATCAATCTACTATTTCAAAATACTTTCTTCCAAAATAATATCCATCAAACACACATTTTTCTTCACAGTTTTCAAATTAAGTCCATGTTTGGTGGGGATTAAAATCAAACTTTCAGTAAATTTTAATAAAAGTTAATGAAATATATTGTTGAAAAGTTATGAATCCCATAAAATATCAAAATTAAATATTGACTTTGATTTAGATTAAATTTTAAATTTTAATTCATTTCAAATGGGGGATAAATCATTTGAATTATAATCGTGATCCCTGTTTGGCACCCATTCTATTCTCATTCTCATTTTCATTTTTTTTTTCTCTTTTTTCATTTCAACCACACATTCTTCCAATAAAATAATATTACACACAAATTTAAAACTTTTCATTACTTTTTCACCACAATTCTCCCATCAATCACTATTCCAAAAATTCTCATTTCCATAAAATGGGTGTCAAACATAGTTTAACTTTCAAAATGTTGGATACTTTAATTATTTTAGTCTAATATAGAAAATAATGCTTTCACTCTCAAAATGTTGGATATTTTATTATTTTAGTCTAATATAGAAAATAAACCCTAATTAATGGTTATTCGTAGGAAAAATTGTACCTGTAGTCCCTCTTATTTTCAATTTTTGTAGACTTTATCCTAACTTTGATTTGACCCAACAAAGATCTCTAACATTTCAGAAATATGTATCTGGAGTTCAAATGGATGAAATCCATCTACTTTTCCGTTAGATGACAAAAAAATAAATTTTGATCAATTTTTAAAAGGGCAAAAGAATATCTTTACATTTTTAATATAAATAAATAATTAACTAAAAAATTTAATTAATAAATAAATAAATAAAAAGACTTTCTCTCTCTATCTATTTATTTTCCTTCCTCAACTCGTTTCCTAAATAGAATAATGGTATTCATCCCCACTGGGGCACAGCCCTAATTTATGTGGTAATTACATGACATTAAATGACAAACCCAATTAAATAAGTCATGTGATTTTATATTTAAATGAATATATCATTTAATATTTTGTAATTAACACATAAACTGAGGCTCAACCCAATGAGGATGAATATCATTACTCTTGAAAATAAGTAACCGTTGCTGCCACCCTACACCGGCACCGCCGTGTACATCACCCACCGTTGGTACATATGACGACACCAAAAAGAGTGCTCCTTTGGTCACGTACACAAACATTTAAAACAATGAAATGTGTTTCAATTCATGACTTTTATCAATTTTCAACTCCGACTCAAACCCATTTCACTCAATTACCACCTATTTCAACCAATCCATTTACTTCTCTGCCGTACCCAAAATTCTACCCTCAGATGGGTATTAAAATATCATCGGAACCCCAAAAATTTGTTTCAAATTTGATAACTCCCCTTAACTCACCTGTCGTCGGAATGGATCTTTCGCCGTGATTCGCTATTGACTTCGATAGATCATGCAGCGGTTCTGGAAACAAGATTTCTACCTCGAACCCACTTTACTTAATTTGTCAACTACCTTTCAACTCTCTCCTAAACCCTGTGTTGCCTCAAGGATCGGCTTCTGGCCACTCCAGCAAAGCCGAGGAGTTAATCGAATGCAAGGAAAAACAATTTGAAAATGAAATAAAGAAATGTCTCACTTAGTGAGACCTCGTATAGCTTGGCTTTGGCTCGGTGGTTGGCTATAGTATACATAGTCAAACTTTCCTTTGTCATGCATTTGTTGTTTTTGAAATAATATATAGACCATTGTTTTTGCTAAGTTTTGAGGGGCTAGTTGGGGTTTCTTGAGATGGATTTTGGATTGCGGTGCGGTATCATATGGTGTCAGTAGTCGTCGCTGGCTGATGGTGGGTAAGTTTTGTTGGTTTGATTTCGAAGGTTGGCTTGAGTGTGTCAGTGGGGTGGATTGTTAGGGAAGATGGTTCCAATTCCTGTTTATTTATTCTCTATTTTTTATTTAATGGTTTGAAATTTTTTATGGAAAGAAATAAAGTTACAATTTTACCCTTATAGAAATAATTAATAACGTGATCAAAATTATTGTTTTGGTCAACTAACGGAAAAATGGATGGATTCCATCCCTTTAGACTCCAGATACATATTTCTGAAAAGTTAAAGGACCTCCTCTGCTACGAGTTAAAAGTTAGGGTAAAATTTGTATAAATTAAAAAGGTTAGGGTCTGCTGTTGCAATTTTACCTTATTATTAAAAGTAGTATGAATTGAACCCTGACCCACGAAGTCAATTGAAGGGCCAAAACAAAGCAGATCATAGTTGACTTTAGATTTTGTGTACGGTCAGGTATAAAATTCCTAGCAAATGCTGACGTTAATAACAAGAAAAAACACGGAGATTTAGTCAAATTTTCACTTCCATTTGCAGAAAATTTTCGTATTTATCGATTCATTCAAAGGTCGCGAATTCAATTGCATTTTGATCCTCTACGATTTCTACGGTAAATGCTCGCCGTTTAATTCCGATCGTCGCTTTTTCTTTAAGCTTGTTTAATTTATTTAACAATTGAATACATACTAATTCAAATGGCTTTGATTTAATTGTTTTATGTTTAGGAATTGATAATTTTTTTTCCTTATCAGTATCTAATTTGATGGGATGATAGTAATAGTAATTATATTTAGGGTTTCGATGATTCAAGTTAATTGCATTTATATAAATCTATAGCGACGGCAGTTGCATCTTTTCCCATCCTTTAATCTGTGCTTTTTGTTTGTCATAGCAAAATTAATTAGTCGTTTTAATTTAATCTATGCTTGTTTCTAATAGTTTCAACATGAATATATGGAAAATCTTGTTTATTAAAAAGACCTTTTTGTGTTTTAGGATTTTTATTGATTTTATAGGAATTTAGGTCACTGAAATCCAGATATTTGAACTATTTTACACTGGATTAATGGATAGTTGGTTGAATTGTTGATGTTTCGTGTATAAAGAGATCTTCATTTGTAGAAGTAAGCATTGATCTTCTGGTCACAATCTAATTCCAGTTTCTCTGTAATCCAGGATTTGGATTTGAATAAATGTCGACTGAGGCTCAAGATTCGACACCAGAAAGCTCGCCATCCTTGGGAATTGGCAGCGATGAAGTTGGTGATTTTGAATGCAATATATGCTTTGATTTAGCAATGGACCCTATAATCACCCTCTGTGGTCATCTCTATTGTTGGCCCTGTCTCTGTAAATGGCTACGGCTTCAGTCTCGATCCTCTCCAGGATGCCCGGTTTGTAAGGCCGTAATTCAAGAGGAAAAGTTGATTCCTCTGTACGGAAGAGGGAAGATTCCAACGGACCCCAGATCAAAACCCCTTCCTGGCATCGAAATCCCTAATCGACCAGAAACTGCTCCCTTCCCAGAAGGGAATAACCACTCTAATTTTGTATCTGGATTTATACCAACATTTGGTAACTTTGGAATGTCTGCTGGCTTTGGCAGATCGAATTTCAGCTTCCAGGTTCATGGATTTTCGAATGCTGGTGGATATGGTGCACTCGGAGGATATTCTCATCCATTTCGTGGTGCTGAAGGCAACCTCGATGGTCAGCAGGCAGTTGGAGTTCTGAAGAGGATTCATTTTGTTGTTTTTGTTCTTGCACTCTTTGCTTTATTTCTATTGTAGTGCCAAAAATGGTAATTTTAACGCGTCTTTGTCGTTTATGATCAAATGCCTGTTGTCGAGCATCTTGTTTCGCTAATATACTGTGAATCTTTAAGATGCTCAACTGAATGATGTTTCGTCGCTTTTTACCAGGGGTGTTGACCGAGTCTTTACTGTACTGCACGTCTGCCTTTGTAACTGCGGATAGAATTAACTTTCTACACAGTGTGTGCACATTTCTATCATAGATGGCGTGGTTGAGAAGAAGTGGCAAGAGAATCAAGCACGCCCTCGTGTTCGAAGAAAGTAAACTGCCCGAGTCAGTCAGTCCATTTCTTAAATTAACATGACAAAGCTGTCGCGAGTTGAAGTGAAATTGAAAGGGACATAATGATTGGTTTTCGGTAAAAATCTTATCATCATTATTTCCCCATAAATTCTACGATCGTTCATGTAAAAAACATCAGCAGTACTCTACGAAGGATAACCAGTATTTAAGCAATGGAAAACAGTTCTCTGCATTTCAAAGATAACTTTGAGTACACGCAAAACAGAGCTAAAAACCACCAGCCTTTCTATTATAGGAAACCTGCCGTTTGGTTAGTGGTTATAATTTATAAACTAATTATAATCCAGAACTTAATTCATTCATTCACTCACTTATGAACATGGCTTCAAACACTTGGACAAGCTTCCCTGTTCTCACCTTGTTCTTCATCTTTTTTCCTTTATCAAACTCAATGGATTTCAATTACCCTACTGTTTTCAACTTTGGAGATTCGAATTCTGATACTGGTAATCTTGTTGCTGGTCTTGGCGAACGGCTTGATCCACCAAATGGACAGATTTACTTCCAAAAACCATCCGGGAGATTCTGCGATGGCCGTCCCACTACCAAAAGACCGGGAGACCTTTCTATGTTGTCTGCTCCATTTGCTTGAGGCTACCTTCACATCACTTCCTTAATCCTTAAACTCGCTAAAGGAACCAACCCTCGGGAAAAAAAATGCCTACACCACAAGAAGCCAAATGGCCCTACAAATCTATATTCATACACCACTCAAAAGATCAATTCATTAGTTAAACTCACCACTATTCACTCACAAAGCAATCGTCCTTGGATCTTCAAGTAAAAGTAATGAATAAAGTAAAGAGAGCAATGAAAAATTATTCATTTAGTCGACCTCAAAATTATCATGTTTGGTTGTGGCAGTGGATGCAATGGACTTGCCATTTCTGAATGCATATTTGGAAGCTATTGGGGCACCGAGTTTTAGAAAAGGATGCAACTTTGCAGCTGCAGGTTCTACCATACTTCCAGCTACTGCATCTTCTGTTAGCCCTTTTTCATTTGGGATTCAAGTGGCTCAATTTTTCAGATTCAAGGCTCAAGTTCAAGAACTTCAGGCTAAAAGTATTTATTTCCATGATTATAATTCATAGAATAACATTATAACATACCCTTAAATTCTCTAAAATAATTGATTATTTTTCATTATTTGCAGCAAGCAAATATGACAAGTACATTCCACCTCAGGATTATTTTCAGAAGGGGCTTTACATGTTTGATATAGGCCAGAATGATCTGGCAGGAGCTTTCTATTCTAAAACTTTTGATCAAATTCTAGCTTCAATTCCATCAATTTTATTGGAATTTGAAGATGGCATCAAGGTTAGTAACAGTAGAGGTTACATGTGCACCACCTCATATTTTCTGTTAGTTCCAGCCCGATCAACAACGAAAATGCAGGCTATCTGGGCCCTAGTTGGCCGGCACCAGAACACTCTGAAGACAATGCGGCCCCATTGCACCTTTAGCTACACTATTATCATCTCTGCTATAACTAGCAAACAATTCATGACAATTTTATTCATTTTTTCACAGTATCATATATTTCATATCGACTAGAGATAACTTCACATATCATACATTTTTTTTTTTTTCGATTTTTGTGTCCCATTTTCATGCAGAAATTATACGACCAACAGGCAAGAAATTTTTGGATTCACAACACAGGTCCCCTTGGTTGTTTGCCACAGAATGTTGCCAAATTTGGAAATGATCCATCAAAGCTTGATGAACTTGGATGTGTTAGCACCCACAATCAAGCTTCAAGACTTCTCAATCTGCAACTTAATGCACTCGCTAAAAAGTTGCAAGGCCAATATCCAGATGCAAATTTCACATATGTGGATATTTTCACAATCAAATCCAACCTCATAGCAAACTATTCTTGATATGGTTATGAATCCTTATTTGTCACTTCGTTTAGTTATTGCTAGATCTACACAAAGATCTAAAGCAACAAGATTCTTTGCAAATACAAAATGTCATGTTAGTTTTAGTCTATCCCTCCTCCTAGTGACATATCAAGTCGAGATCATGTCACTCGTATGAATGGAAACCTCATTAGGTCCACACAAAACATGTCCCAATCACCTAAGTTTTCTTCCATATATCTTCGAATGACATCACCTCTAATCACTAGTGTATACCCTTATTTCTATCTCAGCATCATGAATATTTAATCCTTTACAGCCCAACACAGCTCTTTTAGCATCCATGTATTCTCATTCCTCATCTTATCCATTTCAACATCATCATTTCTGTTACGTTCGTCTCCCAACTATTTCACTCATGTACAGGATTTGAACAGCCCATAACGGCATGCTGTGGATATGGAGGTCCACCTTTGAACTATGACAGTAGAATTGGCTGTGGACAAACAAAGGTTTTGAATGGAAGTTCAGTGACAGCCAAAGGTTGTAATGACAGCACAGAATATTTGAATTGGGATGGGATTCACTACACTGAGGCCGCAAATCAGTATGTTGCATCACAGATTCTCACTGGAAAATACTCTGATCCATCATTTACAGACAATCTGCCTTTCCTTTTAAAACTTAAATTCTAAATTGTTTTATATCTATTTGTTTTTATATTTCTTGATGTATAATATATAACCAAAATCTATTCATGAATTAAGTTATTCATTCAATGTTCTCTGAAAAAGTTCAAGGTGGAAATGTAGAGATGAATAACCTTGCATGGGAGAATTTCTAGAAAATGATAAATAGAGTTCATCAGCATTTAGTGTAGTTCGTGACTTGAGAAGTTAAAAGGTTGGCAGTAGTATACATATCTATCCCCGCCGGAAATTCCTTTAACCAGTAAACTCTAGATTGTTCTGATATTTCGCTATTTGCTTCTCGGGGCTTTCTGTTGGCAGGCATTTCATTCATTTCTTTCCTTACTAAGGGAAAAAAAATCTAAGTCTTAATTCTCAATAAATTTTAGGTACTCATTATTCTTTTCACATATTGCCAAATATTTGACACAAAATATGAGGTTCTCAATGTTAAAAAGATTACATTATAGCAGCAGAACTTTCAATTTAAACTTTTCTTTTCTCTATTTTTCCTCAATTTTGTTTGACTTATTAACTCAACAAATTACCAATCAACTTAACATGGGAAGCTTCCTGTAAATCGAATGTGATCGAGTGTTGTTGTTAGGCCGTACTTGAGCACTGGCTGGTTGCCTTCTCTGAAACCGGCTCCATATGCTGATGATGTATCTGATTCAATCTGGTGTTTGAAAAACTCACCGAGTTTTCTCTCAAACTGAGACATTTGGCCGCACTCAGAAGAACTAGATGAGAAGGACGAGGACGTTGACGACGATGAAGTCGAAGCAACATCGCTACCAGAACCAGCGATAATTTCCTTATCCATCCACATGTGAGCTAACACTTGGCAGATACCTTCTTCAACTTCTGAACTTTGAGTAGGGTGACCTGCAAGGCGACACAGTCACTAATTCTAGTTAGGCATATTGCACAGAAGGGAGATGTCAGGAAAACATGTATAGAAAGTTTGTGGTTAGGCATATTCTAGTTAGGCATATTGCACCCTAATCAAAGTTCAGAAGTTGAAGAAGGTATCTGCCAAGTGTTAGCTCGCATGTGGATGGATTAGGAAATTATCGCTGGTTCTGGTAGCGATGTTGCTTCGACTTCATCGTCGTCAATGGGATGAGTGAGTGAAAGGCGTGAACTTTCTGATTATTCGCGAGCGCTCTCTTGCCACGCCTTTCACTCACTCATCCTATTAAGGACATGTTTTGTTGTTCATATGTCAAGGGCCAGTAAGGTTTTGCACGTTGTATCGAATTAAGAACTTAGACCTCCTTTTACGAATTATAAAAATCTTTGATTTCGACTAAGACAAAAAAGAAAGTACGAGTTACTCATAAGTAACTATTGTTTCCAATCATGTGTTACATTACCTTTTTCTTACTTAAAGTAAAGAAAGTACTTATTTTGAAAATAGTTTTACCTTAGTGAGAGAATAAGTTGCTCAATTCTAATGTTAAACCGCAAGAAGAAAATTATTTCTTTTAGGCTTAGCAGGCATCTTTTTAGTACTAAGTGCTTGTTCAGGTAAAATTATTACATGCTGAAATTATAATGTGATAAAAATGAGTAATGAATAAATTAATGGTAGTTGTGAGTTCTACGAAATTTATAGCTTTGAATTATTGTTCTGGTTATTTAAGTTTAGAGATTAGGCTAAATATAATTTATAGTAGTTGTGAGTCCTTTATAATTTTTTGCATTTGTAGCGTAAAATTGCTCCATCGCTTTTTCGTACTCCATTCTTTTTTAGAGATACCTTTGAAATATACTAGACAATGATTGTATTACAACTACCAATTACTTTTTAAGTTAAACAATAGATACGATTTTTTTGGTTTTGATATTGCCTATAAATTTTAAATTTGATGATTGACATTGACTTGGTCTCCCACCAAATAGAGATTTGATCATATCATTACGTTCTAATTTTCTATTGAGATGTCGTCTATGACTGTCAAATTCAATCATTTATTTGGACTCACGAAATAACGATTCAGTCAAAGCGTTTCATCAAAGTATATGTGGATCCTTGGGAACTCTTTCCTAAATGACCAATCCTAGCCGTCATAATTTTTTTCATGCCATTCATAGTCAATATTGCCCCCGGAGATTAAAATTTAATTTTTAATAGATTTTAATAAAAATGGATGAAATGTGTAGTTGAAAAATTGTGAATTCCATAAAATATGTGGTTAAAATTAAATATTGACTTTGATTTAAGATTTTAATTGAATTTTAACCCAAAACAAACAAGGGTAAAGAATGTCTTCAAATTGTTAATATTATTTATATTACATGTATTAAGATAATTTGACTATATCTTTTTCAACTTAAATATATATGCAACATTCTCGGATTTTATGTGTGATACATGTTCTTTCTATTTCTCCAAGAAAAGCTCTTCGCATCACATTGCCTATTGTATCGGTTTGACTTTTAATAGGTGGAGATAGAATAATACGTCCATAATAAAAACATTTACTATCTTTTCTTGATTCATCACACTTCCATTGTAGTGTTCAAATATATACCATTACTTTTTCTTGAACCATATAAATTTGTTAGGGAAAAATTCATATATAAAGTGATTACAAAATAAAATTTCAAAATTAGTTTTATTATTTCAAAAGTCAGGTCTTAATTAGATTTTATTAATTAAATATATTAAAGTCACAATATTATACAATTTATGGTCGTAATTACGTCTTAATCACAATTACAGACGTCGCTGTCATAAATCACAAATTTTATAGGTCAAAATTTCTTTATCGATCACAAATTATCAAATTAATAGACCACATATTATTTCTCGATCACAAATGTCACAAGTCACAACTTATTTTTACAGTCACTAATTATCAAATTAATTGGTAACATATTATTTCTCAATCATAGATCACAAATTTTATAGATCACAACTTATTTTATAGTCACGAATTATCAAATTACTTGGTAACGTATTATTTTTCGATAACAGATCACAAGTTTTATAAGTCACAACTTATTTTATATTATAGTCACAAATTATTAAATTAAACTTCAAAGATTACAACTTATTTAACAAATATAAAGTATTAAATTATTTGATCACATATTATTTTTCGATCACATATCACAAATTCTAGAGTTCACAACTTATTTTACAATTACAAATGGGGTACTTACAAAAATATCTTTAAAATTAGGGATGTTTTGAAAAATCATATGAAAGGTTTTTAGAAAATAAAA